GCTCTTGAGAGAGCTACCAGGGCAAAGACTTACTCCGTTGAGATCAAGAAGAAGAGGGATGTTGCTAAGAGGTCCGTGGTAGGCTCCTTTATCGATGGTTATGAGGAACTTAAAGGAAAGGTCTCAGTATCTTTTCCTGCTTATGATTTTTCTGGCTTTGTCCCTTATGAGGCACCAAGGACTGATAATAAGGAGGAGAGCTTTGATGGGAGTAGATCGGGGAGTAGTGAGTGATTGTTAGGAGTACCATACTTTTATCCACGTGTTTCTCTTTTTGTGGCTAGGTAATGTTCTATCTTTGGTAAATATTTTATGAACTTCTATGGAATGAAAGACAGTTTTTGAAAAAGACAAAGTCTTGCAAAATTTTATTTCATAATCTGAAGTAAATAATAACGAAAATTGACTAAAACAACAAGAGATAGTTTAAATGGTGACTATTGACTTGTGCATCCACCGTCTTGCCCCCAACTATTGGTTATATTTCTTCAGGTGCTCTGCATTTCATTGATGGGTCTGGACTTTTCCCTCAGAGTTCTGAATGCTATAGGTACCCGGTATTACAACTTCCATGACCGTGTAAAGTCCTTCCCAATTTGGGTCTAGCTTCCCTTCCTGAGAGTCCTTGGTAGATAGGATAACTTTTTGGAGGACTAGGTCCCCAGACAAGAAGGAGCAAGACTTCACCCTCAAATTGTATTACTTGGTCATGCGACGCTTATACTCTGCATGCCTGAGGATGACTATCTCCTTCTCATCCTCTACCAAGTCGAGGTTGATGCGAAGGCCTTCTTTATTAGTGGTAGGGTCATGGTGTTGGACCCTAGGAGAGTGTACCTTAATCTCGATCGGCATGATCACCTCTGTCCCATAGGCTAATGAGAAAGGGGTCTCACCCGTGGGGCTTCTTGGTGTTGTCTGGTAAGCCCATAGTACTCGTGGGAGTTTATCCACCCATCGCCCCTTTGCACTCTCCAATCTGGTTTTCAGGGTGCGGGGGATGGTTCTGACGATGACCTTCACTTGTCCGTTCGCCTATGGATGGGCTGGGCTGGAGTGGGGTTACTTGATCTGTAGGTCAGCGCAAAAGCTGTTAAGTTGTTTATTGTCAAATTATTTGGCGCTATCGCTTACAATTGCATGAGGTATTATGAAGCGACATAATATGCTCCTCTAGATGAAGTCTTCACCTTCTGGTATGTTATCCTAGCTAAGGTCTCGGCTTCTGCCCATTTAGTGAAGTAGTCAATGGCTACCATCACAAATTATGGATAGAGGACTTAGGATGTTGATTCCCCACATGGAGAAGGGCTACGATCTCTAGATGGTGGTTAACTTTTCTAGTGGTTGCCTATGCACAATTGCGAAACGCTAGCACTTGTCACATTTTCTTATGAACTCGTGAGCATCTTTGATCATGCTAGGCCAGTAATAACCTTGCCTTATTGCCTTGTGAGCTCATGTGCTCCCTCCTGAGTGGTTTTCACATATCCCTTCATGAATCTTTCTTATGGTGCCACTTCCCGTTGACCTTTGTAATCATCACTACATTTCATAGCCAGTCTGGGTAGGCTACCTCCGTTAATGATCTATTTTTCAATAGCTTTTCCACTTCTTTTTCCATGGCTTGGCCTTTCTCAACACTTATATTCCTCAGCTTCTGGCGGAAGGCTTTGTACCTGGGATTGACATTGAGCTGGTGGGAGGCCACTTCGGGGTTGATGCCCTCTAGGTCTTTGTGGGACTAGGCAAAGACATCCATGTTCCGTCTAAAGAAGTTTACCATGTCGAATACTTGCTCTTGGAAAAGTGAGGAGCCAATATAGATTCTCCTCTCTAGAAGGCTTTTGTCCAGCTCTACCAGCCAAAGTTCTTCTACTGGTTTTCCTTTCTCCAAGGTATTGTTATCTCGAGGGTCTGATATTTTGACTTGGAGGCTCTCCTAGCCCTCATAGAGGCCACATAGCATTCCCTGACGGAGACTTGGTCTCCTTTGACTTCTTCGATTCCACAAGAGGTTAGGAAGCGGAGGAATAGGTGGTAGGTGGATGGTACTGAAGGTGTTGAGTGTAGGGCACCCAAGAATGATGTTGTACGCCAAAGGACAATCCAGTAAAAGGAAGTTCACCATGATGGTGGAGCTTCTTGGAGTTGTCCCTGCTGTGACTGGCAAGGTCATGGAACCCAAGGGATAAACCTTCTCCCCTAAAAAGCCAACAAGAGGAGTCCTAACGGGTTGCAATCTCTCTCTACCAAGATAAAGATTGTCAAAGGCTGGTGTGAATATGATATCGACTAAGCTGTCGTTTTCGACCAGAATTCTCTTAACCTAGTAGATGGCTACGATTATAGTTAAGACTAGAGGATCATCATGATGGACTTGGATTCCCTCGAGGTCACTTTCTGAAAAGGTGATGACCTTTTCTTCCCCATGTTAGGGTGTCTTCGTCGAGCGAGAGTCATGCGACTTTGACTATTTGACTCTTTTGGTGTGTGCTTTCTTGACAGAGTTAGAGTCACCTCCTCCTTCTAACCCACCAGAGATCATCTAGATTTCTCTGAGGGGTTGCTGATACTCTTGGTCCTCCTGATTCCTACAAGGGGTGGGCCTGTCCTCGGCCAGTAACATACTGTCGTAATTGACCACGCTGAATAAGCTCCTCGATCTTCCTCTTTAACTCAAAGCAGTCGTTAGTGTTGTGGCCATGGTCATGGTGGAAGCGACAATATTTATTTGGATTCCTGCGGTTTGGGGCAAACTTTATCTTCCCAAGCCAACGGAGTATAGGGTCATCCTGTATCTAGAACAGGATATGCTCCACCAAGGCATTGAGAGGTGTGAAGGCCTGCGGTTCTCTTTGGGGTATGGGATTGAGGCAATCCTTGACAAACACTCTCTCTGTCCTCTTTCTCTTGTTCTCTACCTCCCACTTGTCCTCGTGGGTGTCCTTCCTTTTCTCCTTTCCTCGGGAGGATTTAACTCGTCAGACTTTGGTGACATCCTTGACATTCATGTACTATTGTGCCATTGATAGCAACTTGGGCATGCTAGAGGGTGGTTTCTTCAGGATAGAGAACATAAAACAAGAGGAGCGCAGGCCTGCATAAAGGCAGTCATGGTTATCTTATCGTCTGACTCCTCGATCTAGAAGGCCTCCTAATTAAAATAAGTAAGGTAACTCCTAAGGCTTTCATCTCGGTCCTGCTTGATGGTGAGCAAGTGGGTAACCCGCTTCTAGTGTCAGCGTCCCCAATGAAGTGGGAGACAAATGATTTGCTCAGCTCCGCAAAGGAGTGGATAGAAAATGGTTTGAGCTTCGCGAACCATTGTCAAGCGGATCCCTTCAAGGTGGTAGGGAAGGCTCTACACATATCAGGCACGTTGTGGAGTTGCATGAGAGATTTATATATGTCAAGATGATCTAGGGGTCCTTGGTGCCATCAAAGATCTCGATGGTAGGCACCTTGAACTTCGAGGGTAGAGGATAGTTGACAATATCCATAACAAACGGAGTGTCAGTACGATAATCCACCGTTTTTGGTGCCTATGCTTTGATGGTGTTACTGGCATCGCCAAGCTGGTTTTGCACCTCCTTGATCTTCTCATCCCATTGGTTAGGACATCTTCTGTTGGATCATTGTAGTAGCTTTCATGATCTGCATACTAGTTCTCCCCCCTCATCCTCCTGCCTAAGACGGTCGGCTGCGTGTGGAGTAGGTACATGAGGAGGGAGAACATGTGAGGCGTCTGCGCACAATGGGGGGACTCCTTGGCGAGGGGCACCCTGGCACTACATAGGGGCACCCTGGGGCTGGGTGCCACGGTGGGAAGCGCTTTGGCACCTAGAGTGGGGAGGTCGTGACATCTCTCCAATTGGAGGGTCTACTGTTCCCGCAAGCTGAGGTGCGATGCCTCCCAAGACGAGCATCTGCTGGATGATTTGTTGGTTTTGGCTTACCAACAACTGCATGGTCTTCAAAAGCTGTTGCCCGACAATGGGAGTTGTCGTAGTGGACGGTTCCGCTGGTGTAGACGAAAGCGAAGCCTCCTTCTAGCGGGCTGGGTTGTTGTCTTCTGATGGTTGATTCATCGACCTGGTTGTGATTATCATGGATTTGAAAGAGAATAGCAACGTAGTAGAAAACTCATTCGTTTTTCATAGACAACACTAAACTGATGATACACGAAACAAGCTTATGCACAATCAATAATTGAGTGTGTAAGGCAGAATAATTAATGAACAATTAATAAAGCAATCAATAGTAAAAGGCAAATACAGGGTCAACACGCAGATGTATAGTGATTCGGTCAGAAGGACTTACTCCACTCCGAAAGCGGCAATGATGACTGGAGAACCTTTATTAATAAAGTAAGATGAGAGAGAAAGAGAGAGCTCGGGAAGAGGTATGGAAGCTATGAGAGAGATAGCTATGTAGAGCTATGTAAAGAGATACCCCTCTCATGTAAAGAGAGTTTATAATTTCTAGGCACAGTACTTTAGTTGAGGTGGTGACTTGATGGGTAGGTTACTAACTTATAAGAGATGATAACTACAACTAAGATATGTATAATTAAATATAGCATTGATCTTCAAGAGTGGTTATCCCGTTGATTACTCCCCACATACTCTAAATTTTCTTGAACTCCTTGAACTTTGGGCTGAGTCGAATTCACGAGCTGAACTTAACTTGCCTTTTAACTAATTTGGACTTACTCAACTAATTGAGTATGAACCAATTGGATCTGGGCTCATCAAAATTTACACCAAGTTTCACTATATTATTGAAGAGATTCACTGCTAGAAATACAAGATAAACTTGAAGACAGGTTTTCTTAGCTGTAAACGCTGTCAATTGTTGGTCAGTGCAACTGAGTCACTTTGTTCATCTTCACAAAAGGGCGATCCACAAACGTCTCTTACTAGCCAAGTGAATGAAAATGATGGACAGGTACGCTTATCACATGATTGTTGCGAAAATGATGAACATGCACTAGTTTCTTAATTAAATTAGAAAATAATATTCTGCGATTTACAAAGCTAAACGCATAGATAAAGATTTGGGAACCGTTTCTCCTGACAAGCTTTGATTGAACCAAGTTGATTACACCGTAAAGTAGACAAGGATTTACAGACAAAGAACAATGCAATAGACCCTGACCTTGTCATGTTTGTTACAAATAAATTACATCCAAATCAGACATTAGGACTATGACAGCACACGATAAGTAGGCTTTCCAAAGCTCTCTATAAGCAGTAAAAGATCAGACATGTTCAAAAAGGGTTCTGAAATTTGTGGTCACATTGTACAATCAATGAGAGCATTCAATCACACAGGTATCTTCAAGATCCTTCTTCAGAGCACGAATATGCTTTAACAATATCTGATGCCCAAATCCCAAGATTTATGTGAATCACCTGTAGTCAATTGCTGGTGGTGCCTGAAAAATACGCCTAAAGAACCACTGAAATGGTCTCAGGAACTCTGCTCTCTTCTTCCTCCAGAACCAAATGGCAGCGTTATACTGTTCATTTCGGATCTTTCGAGTGGCAGCCCTCCAATCATACTTTTCCGTTTCTTCGCGTGCAGCCTTGCCGATAGTTTCTCTTAGTTCATGGTCACGCAAAAGAGGCACCAATTTGCTTAAGCAGTCATCAGCATCACCGGGATTAAAAAGATAACCAGTTTTACCCTCTTGATCTTCAGGAATGATGTCTGGAATTCCTCCGGCACGAACACCCACCACGGGAAGCCCCGATGACATGGCCTCCAAAACAACAAGGCCAAGTGTCTCTGACTCTGAAGGCATAACAAAAACATCTCCACTGGCGTATGCCTGAGAAAGCTCCTCACCATGTAACATCCCTGTGAATACTGCAGGCATGCCGGAGAACATATTTTCCAGCTCTTCCCTGCAAGAAAGGAATTATACTCGGAACAAAATTATATATTTCTAACATATTTTATGGTGATTCTGTCAGAAGAGTTCAGGTGATTATCACTCTAGGTATAATGTTTTTTTAGAAATAAAGGTTGTAACAGATGATTGATCGATCACCCTGATCCCCACCTGTAACGATTGTACAACCCATAGTTTGCCCCAAACAACTCCAGAAGGATTTATGGAAGTAAGCAGTTAATAAGTGTAATTGCAACTCACCTGTATGGCCCATCTCCAATGAAAGCTATTCGTGCTTCTGGGAGCCTATCCATGATCCTGTTTCAAACATGCATTTCAAATGTCAAACTGCTACAGTTAACAAACACATAAACTGACCTGAAAAAAAAGAACAATTTTGTAAAAACGTCCAATTCAAAAAACTGAAGCAACAATTCCTGTGCTACATAGAACACAAAAATAACATTCATGAATGATTATTAATGTAATGTAAACAGGTACCCCACAAAATTCAATCTTCTGATGAATTCCAGAGTTGCATTATATACCCATTCATATAACAAGCAAGAGAATTCCAAAGTTGAGAAAAATTGTAATGGGATAAGTGAGAAGATTGAAGTCACAATGACAAAGGCTTTAACAACTTGGGTACTGCAGTTACATAAATTGTTAACTGGACACAGCTTACTCAGCTCAGCCTCTTATCAACTGTGAGTCATGCCAGCAAAGGGCTTAAAGGTAAGCAAAAAACGGTCACTGAATCACAACTATCGCCAAAGAGAGAGGAAGATCATGGGGGAGCAAACTAGGCAGTCGTTTCCAATATGTGCAAGCAAATGTTCTGCATTGGCATAGAAGAGCAATACCTCCTAAAGAATTCCAAATTCTTCTCAGCTCCCAATCGCCCAACATGGACTATCAATGGCCTCTCAGGCTCACCATTGCTGATTTTGGAAGAAGGTTCATTAGCATTCAAAGATGAGTCATACTGCATGGCAATGACATTGAAATGGTGGGAGGCAGGTCCTACCTGAGTCTTAATCGCATTTCATGGGAGCGATAACGTGGGTGGAAACTTTCGGAATCAACGCCTTTATTCCAGAGACGAATTTTGTTAGCTGAAAATAGGAACAGAAATAGCAGCAGTTTAGCATTGATATAGCTGTATAGACATTAATATTGAGCTATATAACAAACATTTCTCACATCAAGGATATGTAGATAAAAAGTGCCAAGTGAATTAGATGCTTGCAAAAATAAAACACCAAGAAAAATGCATATTGTGCAGAAGTATAAAGTTTGTTGTTGTTATCATGTCAGTAAAGCTCAGCTGCAGAGAGTGATTCACTGAGTGGAAGATGCTTATTTTCACCTGTTGTCACATTAGCCTCTTCAAGCTCCTTTCCAAGGGCAGCTGATGGCACCAATGTAAGATCAGCTGCTCTGTGAAGAAATTCTGATATATATAATAAAGAGAAAAAAAACCCTTAGAGAACTCACAAGCATGAACCTTGAAATCCATAATTAATTTGGAGCAAGAAAGAACACCTCACATACTTATAACTAGCCACATTGGTTGGACCAGCCAACTAAAGGTATATCTTGGTATGTATCTGCAAGACAAGAATTCAGCTCAGCCCAAGACCTAATTGGACATACTTCAGAAAAATATGGTTTCATAATGAGGCGGTAGCAAAACCTTATCAGGAAGATCAAGGAACTTACACTGGAACATGGGTATGATAAGACATCACAATAGGCACAGACAATAGTTTTGCAATGGCGAGTGCACCAAATACCTACGAAACAAAGGGAAACCGTGAACACTTCAACAAAAACAATTGGTTTTTTCTTGGTATTCTTTAAAGAGCAATGCACAAAATATTTGATCAAGTAAGAACAAGAGAACGGGCAATCAAAAATCTTACCATAATACCAGGAGATGATGCATGAATTATGTCAGGCTTAAATTGTGCAACCTCTGAGATTATTCTAGGGCTGAGTGCTAGGGAAAGAGGCACCTTTTCGTACAAGGGGCAGGGGAAGCTGCAAAAAAAAGTTCAGAAAAATTAGGAGAAAGCAACATTTTTAGACCTCCTTGGCACTGACCAAAACAGTACCGGGCACACTATTTGAGAATTATATAGTCCAACCATCCCATTGGTTTGGAATCTTTGGATGAACCAGGAAGAAAAAAATTATAAGTAAAACTCTATAGGAAACTCAGTAAGTATAGTCATCATATGTGATGCCATCAATTCATTCGATAAAAACTAAGACATATGAGATCAAGAAGTTACAACCTCCGTGATCCAATCAATTTTGCTCCATAAAATTCCTGCGGCACTCCTTCATGTGTGGTCACAACCATCACCTACACCATTCATTTTCAAAAACCCAAACTGGTAGTCAATCATGTGCAGACATTTGTAGAAATTATGTACAAAAAAAGAACGTTAGACAATACAATTAAGGCAATCAAAGGACTGCGGAGTGCATGAGCCTAGGACTAATAGTCAGGTGATCTAAAAATCCTGAATCATTCTCGTTAGCTAATTTCAACATAGTCCAACTCAACCATGTTATGGGCCATGAGACTAACTTCAGGCTCTCATGACTAAAAATTTAGCTGCTAGCAGGCACCTCTAATTAACAAAATATACATGTGCTAAAAGATAAGGACTTTACCTCGTCTCCCATTTCACGTAGATATTTAATAAAATTCTGGAACCGATTTTTATACCCAGAGACATAACTGCATGTTCAACAGAAAATCGATAGTTATTAATCAACATGTACTATGCTAAATAAGGAGGAAAGTATAAAACCATGATTTCAATGAAACCGCAACTTGATTTTAAAATAATAGCAAAGTAAACTATACACAGCCATAAAAAAACGGAAACACAGGAAAATAAATGGAATTTTCTAATGTGGAAGCGCAACAATATAAAGTGTAACCACCAAAGTTAGTCAAACAAAAATAAAGATGCAAACACACACAGCACCAAATGGAACCAATATACGCTGCTTAGTCTTGATAGATCTCATCCAAGGATCCAAGATATCTGGAAAATGCCACTCCACCCCAAGATCAATGAACTCAACAGTCAACCCACCTTCAAGATTCCAATTGGCTTGACAAGACAAGATTCTCATGCCAAAAACTATTGGTCTAATTTTTCTCACACAACACAAGTAATCATATCTATTAAGTAATTTTAAGCTTGAACTTATTAAGCATAAGTTTAATCCTTTGTAACTGTAGCATTGGCCAGGAATTAATCAGGTACTGCCCCATATTTTTTAACTATATAACATTGGGAAAGAACAAGGGAAAAAGTGCAGAGTTCATGTGCTGTGAAGCAAGATAAAAATTTCAAACACTAAAATAAATATTGGCAACCAACAGCATTACCAGTTGTTACTGCTTATATTGAGTCTCTTAACTAACAAAATCATCTACTCTTTCTCGTGCAATGCCATCTAATACCAAGAACAGCGACGAAAAATTCAAATTGAACTAAACCAGAAGATAAAAATAAAATAGGCATCCAAGAGGTGAACTAACATAAGACAGTCTAGGTTGATGGCAGTACTATCATTTGCGACTTCATGTTACCGCAACACTTCAACAGAAAAGGTACATGGACATAAAAAAAAAACAGTGCATACATTCAATGCAACAATGCATGTCAAGGGAGCATGAGTCGAATAATGCAAATACTTGCAATTTTGGGGTGCTTCATGGAGCAAAATTAGATTTAGCTACTTCACAGTCACAAAACACATATCCAAGCTGAAGTCTGAAAGGAATTCTAACTAGTTTGGTAATTGGTATATCCTGACAAATGGAATAGAAGGAAGCAACAGGAAATATAAAAAGGAAAATATATCACAAAAGACATTGACATCCATAGGCATGTCTTGCTGCGTCGCAGTAGAATGGTATTGGCCAGTACGTTGCAATTCGGAGATGAAGACGATGAAGACTTGGCCACATATCATCACGACGTTTCCGAGTCAACCATGAGTCGAGTAAGACTCAATCATTTGTTGGGTTTCCCTCCTTTGTGGGACTCATCAATTTGCTAATTTTTTGGTGGCTTACCCGTGTAGGACTCTTATCCAAGACTTGGTTTGGAGTCTTCTAGTTAAAAAGGAATTTGGCAGCCACCAAAGACTATAAGTTTTGTCCTTTCTTAGTTCTTCTCTTCTCTGTTGGTTTGGCAAGAAGACATATTTTTCGGCAGTCTTTGGTTCAACAAAAATTCAGCCTTCTTCTTCTCCTTTTTTGGTGCCAGAAAAATCTGCAAATTTGTTCTTCAAGTGGGTAATATTTCTTCACTTGATATTTGGGTTTCTTGCGGTTTGTTCTTGGAGATTTGGTTCACTTATTTTGTGAGGTATTTTCCTCTTGTGATTTACACCTTGGTGTGTTTGTAAGGCTTATGCCTTTTGGCCACTTTGTAATCTGATTTGGTGATAGTGGAAGAAACTGACCTACCGGTCGTCGTGGATGTACCTCAAGTTATTTGAGGGAACCACGTAAATCTTGTGTGCTTATTTATTTTCTGTTATTTTATTTATATTGCTTCCATTGATTTACACTTGTGGGAAAGCCTATTTTCCCAACATCATTTACACAGACTATGCACCGTCCTTGGAATGGTAGTGTCGTGCTGGATATGACTTGTTTGAACAATGCACTCAATTAAACCCAAATCCAATATCTCAATGAGATTACGACTAAAATTACGAAATTCCAATGTCAGATGTAGATAATCACAGATAAAAACCTCTCGTTTAATTATAAAATACATCAAATGGAGGCTAACTATAAAGGTGGTTCAGTCACGGATAGTCCAACAAGCCTGCAAACATATTGATATATGGGCCACGCGATGCCATTATTGGCGAAAGCTACGAATTTGCATAAGCTACACAACAAAAAACAGCTGGCAGAGCACATGATCAAGCCACTACAAAAAGATCAAAAGCTACTCAGCACATCCAGTTATTCAAAGTCATGCTATAGATACTCACCATGGTTGTTGTACATAGAAGTTAATATATAAATAAACCAGTATAATTTCATTGAAATACACCAAATTAAAGCTTAAATTTAACTTGCTTTAACTTCTACCTCACATCAGACTACCATGGTCACAGAAGGTTCATAGTTCAATTCTACCTTCAAAGTCAACTCATCAAGATCTAAACTTCTCTAGTCTTATCCAATTAACAAACAACAAAACGAAGCAACTACCCAATGGATACAGATTCAGTACACGATGTTTCCAGTAAAATTGTCCCAATACCCATCAAGAACCGAATCAGAGGACTTACGCAAACGGAGAGGGCTCAACAAAGAGAGCAATACGGCGAGGCTTTGAAACAATCTCAGATTCAAGCAAAGAAGGAGGATTTTCTTCGTCTTCATCCCTGTACTCTGTAATGGTCATCTTGCTAGCTGCAATAAAGGGTCTCTGTCCAAAGCGTTTTTCTTTCACTTTGCAACAACTTTTGGGACCTTTTACTCTGCAAAGATCGAGTCTTTATGCAAATCAGACTAAGGGGTTTTGTTGCTGAATTACAAACACAAGAAACTTTGATGAGGCGGAAGGGAAAGCGGAAGGGGAGGCGTACAAGTAAGGAGGAGAGAGAGTGGGATTTATAGAGAGAGAAGTGGGCATAATCATGCGTGGTTGATGTTAAATATATGTGTGGTGACCTGAGAGAGAGAGAGAGAGAGAGAGAGAGAGAGTTGGGTTTTGGGGTATCTGGAAATTGATTAGTACCCAGAGCAGTGTGTGCGTGTAGAGTTGGAGAAAAAGCATCCAATGGAACATGGAGGGGAGTCTTGACTGGATATTCTTTATTGGGTTGAAGCTGGTGGAATAATTGAAAGAGGTATATAGAAAGTATATGCTACCACTGGTCTATTGAGATGAGAGGTTGGAGTTGCTTACTTCTACAGTGGGGTCGTCCTGATAATTGCTGCTATGAATTTGTTGGAAAATACATGAATCAGTGATTTTTAGTACCGGATTCGTCTTCGACATTGACATAATTTGACGAATTCATTCCACCTTTAACTCTTATCTTCCCAGAAAGTGGTGGTAAATTCGTATAGGAGCCTTATCTGTTTGATATCTGCTTTAAAAGTTAAGTATGAGGTATGTTACGTGTGAAATATACTCTCTCGTCGAATTGTTAACGGATCTCAATTAAAAGTGATGGACGATTCGAGTTACTCATATTCGATTTAGATTCGGTTTGTTTGTTTAGAATACATACCGAGTATAAATAACTTTTTAAGTTTGTTTATAAGTTTGGCTCATTTTGATAAAATTTGACTCATTTATATATAAAATAGTTTAATTATTCGGGTTTATCTTAATTTGACCTTTGCTCGAACTTCCTTGTTCAGAAAATAAGTCAAGTTCGAACACTTTTTAAGGTTAATTTTGAAAAATAAGCTCAATAAACTCTTGTTCAACCTCTTTTGTTTGACTTGTTCAGATCCCTAGTCCAAATTAGCATTAGACTTATTTTCAATCTAATAATAGTGATTAATTAAGTCATTTAATTAAGTCCAAATAATATTACATTTACATTACCAACATAGCGCTGATAGTATCAACATCAACGAAAAGATGATACTAGATTATTATCAACAAGTGGTACAGCTGTGAGATCTTGTTCATTTTTTTTTTTTTTTTGAATTCAAAAAAGACTCGTTGTGTCTTAAGTTGATCACTTATTAATACATATTAATTTATCAAAATAAAAAAAAATATTAAAAAATATCTGGATCCATTATATGTGCCAGGTCACTTACTTCACGTATGCACATGTTTTGGTTATTGTATTGTGGGCCTATAACCCAGAAAATAAGAGGAAAAAAAATAAAAATAAAAATAAAGACTTTTTTGAAGAGAAAGCAATCTTCTTCAATGTCATCTCTCAATTTGTTCTCCAATCAAATTTGCCAACAATACCTAACTGTCAATGTTCATTCTACTTATTTGTTTTGTTTTTCTTCTCAAGTTGATGTTCATCTAGCTTATATATATATATTGATAAAATAAATCTTTTAATAAAGTAATCTATTTACACTTTTTTTTTCTATTTTAAAAATACAATAAAAGCTTACGTCACGTCTTTGCCATGTAACTCAAGAGGAGAGTTGAGTAACGTAAATAATCATTATTTTTAATTAGTTTTTACCCGTGCAAATCCAAGCACTATTGTTTATGATATCTCTAAACAAGAATATATCGTTGTCATAATTAGACCCATTAAGCATATACTACATATGTAAATTCGTCGAATTTCTATTTTGGTTTCTTTAGAGAATACTTTCTTGATTAACTTCACGTCACTAATTGTTGGAATAATTGTGGGACAAGTGGGACCATGTAAGAATGGAGACTATACATACATATCAATATCTTAGGGAGAAGAGATATACCATTGAATATGCTTTACGTAAGTGGGTTATATGCATTCATTTATATAACCATATATAATGTATTAGTCTAAGCACTAAATAAATTTCTTTTTGGGTCATTTGTTCTTATATATATATAATTTTTTTCGGTAAGTTAAATTTGTTCTTATATATTGAAGCGTGTGAAATGAAGAAATTTGGATTCGTTTTCCGCCATTTATTTGATTATTTAGAATTAAACTTGCATTTTTTTTGTATTATAGGTATTTGAACTAACTCAGACACATCTCGGCTAAACTTGCAATTTGGTGCATTAAGAAAATCGTTAAATTTTTTTTTTTTTTTGTTCAAATTTATGTCAACTATTCTTTCAAACTCGAATATTGATCAACGTAATTCGAACGGATTTAGAACATATCATTTGAAAAATAAGAATGATTGACCCCTTAAAAAAAGTATAAAGAGTATTAAAGTTAAGACTTTTGAGTTAATTCAAGCTTAGTTGCTAAACCACCCATGAAGTTATAAAATTTTCATTGGTGTCATCACTTGCTGTGTCTGTTCGCCACAGGTTGTTGAATTTAATGGGAAGACATGGAATAATATGTTGGCCCATTTTGAAGTGTCATCATAGTTGACACAGCTGAGATTAAAAAACGTACAATGGGGAGTTGGCATAAACATCCAAGTATGATACTGTAGATACCGACATGAGTGGTTGTTTCGGTGAGTAAAATTTTAATTTTTTTGGCTTAATATTTGGATCGACTCTGTACAACTACATTAATTCAGTGGGGCTAACTCGTTAGGACTAAATTTATTATTAACGTTTTGAGCACACACTAGCTACGGGTGGTCATGAGTCGGGTTGGGCTAAGTTCGTCAGATCTTTTTTGGGTTGGACCTAAGTAATGTAAGCTCAATCTCTTATTCAAATGCGTTATTGGACGGACATGACAGGATTTCGGATAGAGGTAGGCTATCCATAGCCCAACCCTTGAGCCTATTGATTGAGCCTCCGGGCGGCGGGGCTTGCTTGCTATCTTTTTTATGTACAATTTCATTTAAAAATCATAAATATTTTTATAATTTAATATTTGTGTAAATTATATTTTTGAATCAAAATTAGAATCACAATAAATAAAAATAAAATAATAAATAATTTTATTTTTGATTAGGAGATGAATTATATCCAATAGCACAAATATATCTTAATTAAGTTGACACCTACTCATTTATCTATCATTTGTATTACTCTACTCTTTAAAACTTGTATACTTCGCGAAAATAATACATTATTTATAGTATCTAAATTTTTAAAATTTCAAATTCCGATATTGAGAGACTTATTTCAAAGTTTCAAATTTAATAGTGTAAAAGTATAATTTTTTTTTCAAAGGAAGGGTGGGCGGACTGTGTAGATGGGTTATTGGGCTGGGCTGAGTAATGGGTTTAGGAGCAAATTCAAGTCTTCTTTTTAATAATATTGGACTCGAACAGGCCAACTAACTGGCTTATCAAATTTTAAACCTATTTTTTTTTTAACCAAATAACAAAACTCATAAATAATCCAGCCCATAAACACCCCAGCAGTTGCCTTTAGTTTTGACCCGCGTGTACACACAGTAAAATGTCCTATAAATAAACGTGTAATGTTGAGAAACAATGTTCATGACATGACAGGTATGTGCAAGCAATACCCTATCTAAGTATCTATTCTTTAACCACAAAAAAAATATAATGGACACGAGTGCTAGGACGATTCTTGATTAGAAAAAAGAAAAATGGACCATTGCCAAATTACCAGTTATGTCTATCTGGTTTGGGTTTGCCATAACAAGTTTGGATTGGTGGACTCCCAATGATAACTCATTCGGCTTACACAGAACGCCATTCTTGGTTCACATTAACAAACACCTGATAATTTTAAACATATAGTCAAATCTGATATCAAATTGACATAAAATTATCAGGTTTAAATTTAGTTTTAGTCGGTTTTGACGGGCTCAACTCAGATCAGGTGTAGAATTATAAATCATGCCCAACTCACAAATACAAGCAACAAGGACTAAGACCATAACCTTTAAAAACTCAGTCTACTAGCAACGCACGTGATATCTTCATCTTAGTAAAAAAATCAGAGTATGCATCACAAGACTCAACTACTTCGTTCGTTACGCCGACATCACGGAGTCACCCATTCTAATCACACGGGTGACACCTTAATCAAGGCTTCCTATGATGGTGCCTCCATCAAAGTTCGCTTTGGGGCGCTATGAAAGTTGTACTTCTTTATAAATTGTAAACTTCACATGTAAATGGGGGTATCACACACATCTCAGCACATTATATCTCTCAAATAATAAGATTCTTTGGCCACCGTAACCATTCCTAATGAAGTAGGTTATCTAGACCGAACTACCTAATTTATGTATTTACTTGTGTTGAGCCCTCTACACTTCCCTCTTAATTGATTTTTGCATAAACAATTTTATGCATCATCAAGTTTGAATGATAAATGGTGAACCTTTTAAACCTGTCAAATAAACAATTTGACACCAACCAGGCTAAACACGACTAATAAATGATTCAAATCTAACATAAAACGAACTCAATTATATACGATTATAGATTAGATGAATATGTGTTAGACAAATTTTAATACGATATGACTTAGATACAACAATAATCTGAATTATAAACTATATTATACACTGAGACCCTGTGACATTTGAACACGTGTGACAGCCGCAACCTTTTGTGTAATAGATTTTAACAATTTCATTAAAAATATTTTTTTAATCCTCATATATCCTTGAGATTTATCAATGCCCATATCCAATCTATTCAATTCACCCCTCTATTTGATTAAGTCAAAATAAATAAATTGAAAAAAAAATTAATGACAAAAAATCAGGTGATGCTCATCTGCAGGTGGTGATGTGAAGCAGATCACAACCAAAAACCACTTAGCAGACATGATTGAGGTCATGTTGTGCCATTTAACTATGTATCAGCTGATATGGCACCATATGCACTTGACTAAATTGAGCTAATTTTTGCTTTTCTAATATGTTGCTCACAAAAGGTTATGGATAATGACAATTACTCAACTTTTTTGTTGCAAACCATGTACTACCCTTGTCAGCCAATTGGCTCTTGATGCATTAATAGTTTTCACATGGAAAATTTGTCAGCCAAAGAAGCTCCCCAAATTCTGCCATTAAAACATGGCTAAATGTATTTGTGTTTTCAGTTTTTGACGTTATGCATGCGCTTCTGTATTTTGTTTATATGAGTGGGCAGTTTGA